GACCAAAGACCAGCACAGTCAAAGGAACAGCCTGATTCAAAGAGTCTGGCTGAAGTGCCATCCAAGTACTCACAGACAAACAAGGCCTTAACCAGAAAACAACAGAGCCTTAAAGTAGATCTCAAATAAAGCCTGGAGAGCCTCGAATGCAAATCAGGCCGAAGCTCAGATCCAGGAGAAAAGACTTCCCCTCCAGGGTCGGTGAGAAAAGCAGCAAGCTCAGTGGGCTCTTTTGTGGGTACTGTGCCTATTTGCTCACCAGCCTAGGAGTCTTTGGGGGTCTTCTCTGGATCCCCGTACAGGCCACCAAAATGTTGACCTCACACAAAGAGACAGCCAGTTATTTCTCCAACAAAAATGAGTTGATTCGAGATCTGCAAAGAATTGCAATTCAGGGTCTGCACCCATGGCGAGCCATGTACAGCAAGCAGCAAGGGAGGAGAAACTGTTTTATAGAGGGGAAGAGGAAGTTGGGAGGGCTATTGTAAACAAAGAGTTCCAGGTGTAGTGGCTTTTCATTGCCTGAGTTGTGACAGTCTCTCATTGGTTGAGCTTCTTGCCCATCAAGAAGAAGTCTTTCTTCTTCCTGTTGGGCTCAACTATCAACATAGAGTGTGAGAGCTCCCCCTTTTGGCTTCCTGAGTCCAATTTAATGATGTTTCTATTTATTTAATTTCCACACTGTCAATCTAGTGAATTCTCTTGTGAATTGTTTCCTGATGTTTAGCAAGCCACAGGAATCTGTACCATTAACCAACTATTCTAATACAGCTTCTGTCTGTTCATGCATTTCCTCCCATACATCTCTCTTGAAACCCCAAATAAAATAAACCTGGTCATAGAACCTGAATGATGTGCAAATATTGTAGTAAATTTTATTTGCGTTGCTGTGATTCATTAACTTCTATGTTCAAAAGCCTCATTAGCCTGCAACATCAGTCAGGCTAAAAGCTTAAGGTTTTACGAGGACTTCGAAGTAGTTTACATGATCTGTCTCCCTACTACTTCCCTGAGCTTTTTTCCTGTGAATACTTTCCTCATTGATTCCTCTTCAGTCACACTGGCTTTCTCACTGTTCTTCAGACACTCTAAGAATACCTCAGGACCTTTGCACTTACGGTTCCTTCTTCCTGGATTCTTTGTCCCTAGACATGTATGTGACATGTGCCCTCATTTTCAGGTCTTTACTCAAATGTCACCTTCTTGGGGAGGTGTTTCCCGGCCAACCGATCTAAAATGCAATCCCACACCATCACATCTCACACCCTGTCTATGCTTTCCTTTTTTTCTTAGTGCTTATCCCTCTTTACCATGCCATATATTTTACTTTTACATGTTTTTTAGTTGTTTGTCTTTCCAACTAGAATGGGAGCTCCATGACGGTAGGGATTTTGGTCACTTTTGTTTATTGCTCTATCCTCAGTTCTAAGGACAGTGCCTCATACATAATAGCTGCTTGATAAATCCTTGCTAAGAAGTGATATGTACCCCATTACTTCCATTGCAAATATGAGAGCCTGGGCTCATGCCCTGTCACAAGGATTTTCTTCCTCTGAGACAGTCTGGTTGATTTCTATTGCCTTCTGATCCTCCGTGTTCTTTATAAGAAGCTCACAAATGGTACCCTTGTCTATTGCATTCTTCTCCTTCTCTGAAAGAACTATGTGAACCAGGGCAAATGGTTTAAATTTTCTAGGTCAGGCCTCAGTATTTTTCACTGTAAAAAGAATGTTCCCTTTTCTTCCTATTGGCTTGTAGTTGGATTAAATGCAGTAAAATAAAGGAAAAGCACTTAGCACGGTACACAGCACAATTCATATTTGAAAAAATTATGTATATTAGTTCTCTTTCCTTTTCTTCCTTTAGAGTTAGAAGTTTTAAGGAAAATTCATTAAGGTAACAACTCACTAATGCAATAAGGTGGAGTGAGGTAGTAAAGATACTAAAAAAAAAAAGTGAAGTGTCTGTATTAGCTTCTAATGCAGTATGAATATAAATGTACTGGTGTAACTTATTCTTCACAACCTTAGATTCCCTGCCATCGTCTTCCTGGTTGTCGCTTATCTAAAGAAATTATGCTGGTGAATTGTTCAGCATCCTGTGTTTCTAAGGTTAGGTATCTTTGGAAAGATTTCCCCAAATGAAGCATTCAATTCTCTTCTTCAAAGAGAATTCTGGTTTGTTTAATGTTGCTGTTTCCCAGCCACAGTGTGACATCTGGATTTCCTGTCTCCCTAGATAACTGCTAGCTAGTTAATTATAGCCTGGGTAGTGTGAAGCAGATGTTTTTAGAACATCTTTGAAATGGGGCCTTGGGAGTCCTTGGGAGTTTGGTTAAGGGTTGAACATGTCTGGGGGCTTTCTCTACCCAGAATCCTATTCTGTACATGGACCAGCTTGAGAGCCAGGATGGCTATAGAGTCCATGTGCCTGAATTTGTCAGCACACGTGTGTGTGCTGGTGGTGCAGGAGGGTCAGTCCTTGGGTCTCAGGATGTTGAGTATACAGAGAGAAAACCAAAGTTTCTGTAACAGCCATTATGGTCTTTCTCATCCCACTTTTGTCCTAACTGTGACTCCTTATTATGCTTAGGGTCTTGGAACTGTCATTGTGTCTGATTGTGTCCTTTGTCACATGTCACTACCAACAGTTCTTTTTCTAATCCCCTACGTGAATATCAAAATAAGGTGAATGAGGTGCTCAAATTACTAATGTTCAAAGTTTATAAACTTATGTTATCTACGCTAAGTAACTGAATGGATAATCCTTTAATCCTTTTCACTGTCCATAAAATTCAGTCAAAATAATCATATAGAAGAATATGCTTTTCATAGTTGTCTTACAATCATAAACTATAACAAAACAGCTGAAGGTTAAAAGATTATAAATATGTAATCACTATTCAAAGATGCTTAAGAATCTCAGGAAGTATGCATAATATCAGCTTGCTTAGGCAGTAAATATTGACAGTGCTTCACTAACCCTGTCTGCGTCTTTAATTAAGACTAGGTTTATTCTTAATTTCTCTGCCCACACTCCCTTTGTCCCAGTGTTATGGGAAGAACAGAGTGCCGACATCTTTTACAAGAAGCCACCCTGAGATGAGATGAGGCAGGGTGCAGTTAGAGTTTTGTTGTGGTGGGTTTTTTGTTTTTGTTTTAGGCGGCAGGTATCAGAGCCGTTGGTGGGTAAATTTGTAGGTTCTAAAGCTATCTGTTGATACGTTGCTGAAACCTTATGATGTTAAGAAATGTAGTTTGAGCTTAGATGACTGGAGTGACTCTATTGATAAGCTCGATAAGATGTAGTTTTAAAATAGCAAATTTTCTTTAGCAGCTGCTTCCCACCAGGGTGGGAGTGGGAACAGAAGCATCTTGAAGGAGTATCTCCTTTTCTAAAGTGTCCTGGTAGCTTCTGTTCCTGTAGTCACCTTGTTCTGTCTGTGTACCTTCCTTTAAGCACCTCCCTCCACAGGGTTCCTTCCTGTCATCACCACTGCTCTTGCCTCTCCCATCAATTTTGAAAGATAAGTGAGGTGAGCCCTTAGACGTTTTAAACAGGCGAACGGAAAAATGCTGTTAACCCTTCCAGCTGTGTGGATTTCCTCCTGTGCTTTGATTATGCTGCAGGCAGAATGGACACGGGTGTTGCAATGCCATGTCATAAAATACCATCCCATTTTTTGTCATGATATGAAAATATTTGAGAATTCTGTGTTAAACATCAGAAATGTGCTCTGGTTACTTGCTACTTCTCCTCAGCAGTGACCATATGGCTTAGCACCTTAAGCACTGGACTGTGACTTAGGAACTGTGTTTTAATGTTCAAGACTCCATCTTTTGTTATTAATGCCAGCTGAGCCACCATCCATAAAATGTGAATAATAGCTGAACTACTCTGGAAAGTAAAGAACAGTAATAAATTCTTCCCATCGTTCTAAAGTGATATATATGTATGATAAATTATGGTAGAGACCATAGTGGAAGGAATACATTCTGAGTCCCTAGGAAGATAGACGTTTTTAATATTTTGAGTTACTCTGGATCTGATTGGGTTGGCAATTAATCCCTTGGGTGTACGTATGTGTATGTATGTGTATATAATATTAAGCCAGTAGTTCCAGAAACTTTTCACTATCAATACCCTCTTATCCTGCCCCTCCACAGATACAAATCTCATATTTATAAGATTCTGTTAATTCAAAATTTGATTTACCAATAGTAACAGATGCATTCCTCCATAAAATATAATCACTTTCAGAACTTATGGTTATCTTGATATAGCTACTATTATTCTGACTGTTACAACTTGAGGCAGAGAAAACAAATTTAACATTTTTGTTAATCAAGGCAGGCGAATTTTGGGTAAGTCTGTGGTATTGATGAAATAATCAGCATAGCATAAATATCTTTCTTTCTATGTTTTGGGCCTTCTAGAGGTCCAGGAACAACAGATTGAGAGCAATTTGATAAAGCATTGGTAAATTCAGCTTTAGATTCAAGGTCTCTAGGCTAGTGTATTACTTAAAAAATAAGTATGATATTTCTCATATATTTTAAAAAATCTTTGGGTTACTTATTCCAGAGACTGAGCTATAAATAACAGAAATATTTTGCACATAGCTGTTATTTAGAATGATAAAATAACTTCAGTTGAGTTAAGAGAAAGCATCTTTTCCAGAGATCCTTAAGTTTTTAACATGTGTTGTAAAACTCACAGACACATAATTCTCCGTTCTTTATGCCTGCTGATCCACAACTGAGAACACTAGACAGGAAGCACTACTATATAAATTATTCTAAATTTATATCCTTATGTTTTAAAATTATCCATATGGTATAAATTTCTCAATTTTTTTTCATTTTTAAATCATACATTTGTACTATTCATCTATTCCAATTAAATTCTGTGACAAACTGAGGGGAGGCATTGCACTCAGTGAGGAAACATTATGATCTCAGGTTGAAGCATTACATGATAAATAATATTTCTTTCTCCAGAAACTGGATCTCCGATTACAGCATCATGCATTGGATTAGGTAATTCTAAAACACCTCCTCCAGGGCAAGCAGGAAAAAGTGTTCCAGGATACAACGGTGAGAAATGACTCTGATTATTTAAAATATGTAATACTAATAAATTTGTTATTTTTCTTTGTCTAGTGTGAATCATATTGCATGAAACATACTAGGTGCCTAATAAGTATTTGATTGAATAAGTACCTTGTATTAAAAATGAATTTAATTTTTATTATTAGCCAGTTTGATCAAAAGTACGATTGTAGACTTCCAAGAACACGATCTACATGACTGTCATAACCAAGAAAATAATATTATTTATAAAGTGTGTTAAGGATATGCATGTGAAATTCATATGTATAGAATACCTGCTAGGTGTCGAGTACTTTGCATACATCATTTCATTTAGTGCTGAAGTATATTCAATTTTGACATATTATTACCATTTTAGAGATGAGTTAACTGGTGCCCAGAGAGACTAAATAACTTTCCTAAAGTAACATAACAGGTTAGGTCCTGAAGACAGTGCAAACCAGTATGTTTTATTTAGTTTGTTTGTTTGCTTGTTTTTGTCACAAAAGCTGCAATTTTTTTCCATTATATATGCTACATTTAAAGTAAGTGATGATAGGCTTTTGAACCTTTTTGGCTAAAAATAAATATAAAAAGTAAGGATTCTAAAAAAAAATCATTTCATTCATGCTGGTGGTATATGACAATGAGATAGAATATCTTTTCAATGTTTGTTTTTTAATTGTTGATAGTGATTATAATAGTGGAATAATTTCCCTTGTGCTTTACTCCCTAGTTGTATAACTTATACAAGTCACTTAACTTTTCAATCATATGATTTCTTTGTTTCTAAGTGGGAATGATAATTTTGTATACTTCATAGGGTTGCTGTGTTGTGATGTAACACAATGCAGCGCTAACGTAAGCACCTGCCAGTAGAAAGACTGAGCTGTCTTAGCTAATAGTGTTACTAATATTTCAAAGAAGCCAGATGGACTGATTTGATTTACACTTACACATTCATTTTACAGACAAGGAAAATGAGGCACAGAAGTTAAAGTTATGTTATCACACAATTTGGCTTAATAGATTTATCAGGAAAACCCAGCTTTGGGGGACAGAGTATGATTCTTACGTATAGTTCCTATTTGCATGTAAATTACAAAATTTCAAGATTAGTCTTTTGCTTCTGTACCATAAAAATATTGTATTTTCCTTCTAGGACAATGACCAGTTGAGGAAACATGGATGATTTGGTTTAGCCTAGCAGATATATTTATAAAAAGACATTTAAGATTTATTTTTCAAGGGAAGAAATATTCTGTGAAGTCAGTGACTTCTTCAGGCATGGAAAGGTGAACCCAGCTTTAGTGCAATCCTCCCTTTGAATAGTTCTGTCATCCCTCCTTTTATCAGAAAAATTGCTTTTGTGTTAAGCCATTTTTAGGGGCTGATGACTGTGGGAGATGTTAAACACATTTCCTGTTCAGTACTTCAGTACCATTTTTATGTCCGGTTGTAAGAAAGAGTCAAGCTTTAATGCCTCATGGAAATTCAGTACAGAAATTTCTCATTGTCTGAAAGCCACTGGCTTACAGACAGCCAGATTAAACACTAGAACTAAAGTATTTATAACCAAGGAAATAGTGACTTTATTACTCATGATATTTGTTTTGTGGTTATGCAGAAATTCAAAAGCATAATGTCACATTCAATATTATAATAAAAATCACTATCCTTTGGGAAAAGAAAGAAAACGATTTTTGTGTGAAAAACACGCAATGTAATGTAACCGTTTCACATTCATTTAGTACCTTATGCAAGCTTGTCGCTTTGTTTTTTCCAGGTAATTCTTATACCAACACTGTGAGAAAGGAATTACTCCTCCTTTTTAGATAGGGAAATTGAAGGGGTAATAGAGCATGCTCAGGGGCACATAGTAAATTGACCACTGTACTGGGATTTGGGGAAACAAAGATGAATTAGGCATGGCCTCCACCCTTAATGAACTCACAGTCTAGTGAGAGACCTATCTACACTGCTAATAACTGTCAGAATAGAATTTTTTTGTGTGTGCGGAAGATTGGCCCTGAGCTAACATCTGCCAATCCTCCTCTTTTTTCTCTGAGGAAGACTGGCCCTGGGCTAACATCCACGCCCATCTTCCTCTACTTTATCTGGGACACTGCCACAGCATGGTTTGACAAGCGGTGCGTCATTGCACGCCCGGGATCCGAACCGGCAAACCCCGGACTGCCGCAGTGGAGCACGCGCACTTAACAGCTTGTGCCACCGGCCCAGCCCCCAGAATAGAATTTTAAAACAAAATGTTCTGGGAACATAAAGAAGGGAGCAATTAATTTTTTCTGGGGGCAATGTTCTTCTTTTGTTATAGCTTCTTTCAGTAGAATAACCTGGATGGATGAAGCCACATAAAGGATGTATTAAAGCTTAAAACATGATGATATATCCTCATTTCCAGTTTGCACTAAGGGTTACCAAACGTGGATACAAGCTTTGAGCTTCTAAAATCTTTTGGGATTTCAACAGTACAGCACGGAAAGCATTGGGATATTATTTGGGAAGGTTAAATTGACCTTTAAGGCTCATAAGTGTATATTAAGCCTTAAATGAGAAAAAGAGATTTTCTAGGCTTTTAAATACTTTATTTTTATTGCTTGAAATATTTTTTGGTGTATCTTAAACTTTGTTTCCTTTAATTTTTGAAAAGCTGAACATATTTTTAATGTTTTTGATAGAATAGAAGGATATGTTTAAATGGATATAAACATGGATTATGAAATTACCAGCATGTTTGAAATACAATGTCTTTATTAAAGGGAGATTCTGAAGGAAAATTCATGATCTTGTTAGGAATCAAAAGCATGTACTCTTTTTAGTTTTTGTGAAGCATTTTAGCTTATTCATATATGTTCACGGTCACACGAATTAAAAGATGCCTTTTTTAAGCTAGAGTTTTGGGGGATGAATATAGAAAATATTGAAACGTTTAAGCTTTAAGGTTATGCATTTTTATTCAAATTTTCATTTGTTTATTTATATTTTACTTTCCAGTTATGATTTTGGATGACAACATGCAAAAACTGAAGGCTCGGAGTTTAGGAAATATTGTGGTAAAGTAAGCAAAATTTGCAATACTACTATTTGAAAGAGCAAGAATTGGTATATAATCTTAAGAAGAGAAGTGGTTGCTGTGCTCTTACTAGTGAGGAGGCTGCAGAGCAAGCCGGTGTGTTGTTTGAGGACACACGGTGCCAGCTCTTGTAATTTAACACGGAAGCCTCATACAGCAGAACATTTTAGATACGATTTTGAAAAAGATTAATCTTGCATCTTTTTAATGACTTTTTCTGGTTATACAAGTAATGCAGAGGTGATAAAAGTAACTTAAGTACCAAAAATTTAAAGAAGTAAATAAATTTTCTGTACTCCCACCCTTCAGCGATACACGGTTAGTTTTGGAGTATATATGCCTTTTCACTTTTTGACAGGCATTTTAGGTTGTTGAAGCGATTTGATTTATTCTTCTGTGTTCCTGTTTTTCCTTTACCCTGTCTCATGAACAGTTTTAACTTTTACTCTGCCTCTTAAAAATGTTTATCCCCATTCTAGGCCTCTTAGTCTTGTTTGAGTATTTATGATTATAAATAATGCTGTATTGAACACCTTTTTTGTGTTCTTTTTCCTTTTCTGATAATTACTGTCTTATTGAGTAGATTTCTAGAAGTGTAATTACTGGGTCAAATAGTAGCGTAATGTAAAAGTCCCTAACTCATGAAGTACCACAATTTCCTGCTAACATTTTCGTCATTGTTCATTTGATAGGCAAACGTGCTAAAATTTGAAGTGAAAATATTTCAATTTACTTTGATTAAATCAATACTTGAAAGTTGTTGTGCTAGTGGAAGGTAAAATGCAAGCTGATTAGTTTGGGGGACACACAGTATGCGACATTTTAATGATACAGGCTGCTTTAGCTCCACTGATTAGCATGATATTAGTGTCTTGACTGATGTGGTTTAAGTAGTAGAATTTACCAGAATGAGCTGCTGTAAAGAACATTGTATGTAAAGTTTTGTTTTCCGATTTATTTAAAAGAATTCTTATTACTTGGCATTCTGAGATTGGTATAAGATTGTCTCATGTTAGTAAAACATTTTAAATTCTGTGAAAATTAAATTATAAACAGAAATTTTAAAAAGAATGGATCTTTTTTCAGTTAGAGATGCTTTAACTTACAAAAAGCTAATAGAGGAGATAAAAGCCATGATAAAATTCTTGCCATGATAAAATTCTTCTCAGATTCTTATGTTATCAGTAAAGACGTAAGCACTATATTAATTTTTTTGTTTAAATTTTAAGACATCTTGATGGCAAGATGGAAAATTTTACTATTGAATATACCATTTCTTGTCACATTTTTCTGATCACAATCCATGTTAACATAGAGCTGGTTGAAATTTGCCCTGTTGGGGGAAATTGGTGGGGTTAGTGGGAGGGCTTGCTAAAGAAATCAATAACCTGAACAAGATTGTGGGTGGATGTTGAGCTTGCTTAGGGAAGCACATGGTTTTTGAGAGCTTTTAAAATCACTCCAGCAGCATACATTTTAATATAATCTCCTAACTATGAGTGAGTCATCTAGTTCATAAAGCAACTCTTACAAGATCCCAGAGGTGGCATTTGATCCCAGCACAGTTATAAACCCCTCCTGAGTTCTGTCACTCTAATCATTTGTGGCTTTGCCTCGTATCTGTTCAAAGATAATAAAATATGGCAAATAGCCCACATAAACTATAATTTTTTCTTGTAGCCATTAGTGGTACCTCAAATACTTGAAAGTCACACAACTATTGCTTTAAAGTATTCTGTGGTTTAGATTGTTGCCAGTTCAGAATGATTTTCTTCCCTCTGTATTCCTAAACAGGGAATTTTATTGTACAGATCTGAGATTCTGAGATTTCATTATAAATTATTTGAGGATACAATATATTATGGCACGTAGTAGACTTTGATTACTCCCTTAAGTTAATAGTGAAACTAGATATTTGAAAAGATTATACATATAATATTATTGTATTCAAAAGGTAAGATAGAAATAATCAGGAAAAAAGGTTACCACCAAGATATCTCTGTTTCTTTTTTTTTGGTGAGGAAGATTAGCCCTGAGCTAACATCCGTTGCCAGTCCTCCTCTTTTTGCTGAGGAAGATTGGCCCTTGGCTAACATCGTGCCCATCTTCCTCTACTTTATATGTGGGACGCCTGCCACAGCATGGCTTGATAAGCGGTGCATAGGTCCACACCCAGGATCTGAACCTGTGAACCTTGGGCCGCTGAAGCAGAGCATGTGAACTTAACCGCTATGCCACTGGTCTGGCCCCCTTGATCTCTCTTTTTTTAATAGAACGGTTCTTGAAACCTTATTTCAGGAACTCCTTTTTCCCCGTGAGAGGAGGATTTCCTATTGAAAGCCACATCTCCAGTAGCTTTTCCACCCTATCTCATCGGCCTGAGAATTATTCATGTGTCCCAACGGCTGCCTGCAGTATGCGTGGGATGTTTCCATATTTAACATCTATCAATAAGACTTGTTTGTGTCAGTCCATAGCTGTTTTGTGTGCCTTGAGGGGATACAGCATTCATCCAGATTGGAAAATGACCAATGAATGCTTTTTAAGAGCACATAATAAATATATGTTTAATTGAGTTAACCGAAAGGAAAAAGCACACCTTTTTGACTTACTAAAAATTGTTGTGGTTTTACACAAATAGTGTGTAACTTGAGAGATGATCATTCTTTTCATGTAGACCGCATTCTAAAGGAGGTCTACAATCTGAAAGCAGGATCCTTTCTGGAGACCAGCTAGATAGGCCCCCAGAACAACTTGGTGGCCTGTAAAAGGTGTTTGATTAGGGATTATACCTGGTGTCCAGAGTCTACAAAATATCCAAGATTCTAAATTTTAAGAAATTGTATTGATCCCCAAATTTGAGAAATTTATAGTCAAAATGAATACATATTTAGTTAAATATCTATAAAATTTAACATCATACCTTCATTGTCAATTTAGTCTTCATAAATTTTTCATTTTATTTGCAAACAATTTTTAGGTCACATTTTCTCACTTCCCATGATTCCTGAATATGTATAATGATTGCTGAGAAATAACCAATGGAAGCTAAATATGTGGCTTCTTGCCAAATCATTTCCAAAGCAAAATGATAACCTTTTCTTTTTCAGAAAAAGTTCTAGTTTGTATGATGTATTGCTATATTTTATTATCTTTCCATGGATATGGAGTGAAGCCACCAGTAATAAGAATAAATAGAGTCGGGCCGGCCCCGTGGCTTAGCAGTTAAGTGCGTGCGCTCCGCTGCTGGCGGTCCGGGTTCGGATCCCAGGCGCGCACCAACGCACCACTTGTCCGGCCATGCTGAGGCCGCATCCCACATACAGCAACTAGATGGATGTGCAACTATGACATACAACTATCTACTGGGGCTTTGGGGGGAAAAAAAAAAAAAAAAAATTAAAAAAAAAAAAAAAAAGAATAAATAGGGCCCATGAGGGGCTTAAAACTGAGCCTACACCAAAAGCCACCGCTGGAAGTGACCACCAGCCAAAGAGATGGCCCATTTTTTCTCAATTATTCATGCCCATGCTTTTTTAAAAATTACTTTGTATAATAATTAAGTAGAATAGTCTTTGAAAGTACAATAGTCCCTAATGCTATTTATGTTCACTAATTATACTTGTAGTGATTAAAGAGATTAGGGGGAAAAATCTGCATGGAATATTTGAAATGTGTGGGAGTCAAACTATGTTAAAGTAAGTCAATAAAAGAAATAATGACTCATCGTTTTAATCCCAAATTTGTTTGCTTTTTGTAAGTACAGCTATAGCTTCTTGTTTCACTATAAAATCTGTTATGAATAGTATAAATAACATTGGAAAACATCTTTCTCTGGCAGTTTCTTTAAAATCTGAAGCTTTAATCAATCATATTTCCATACTTTACAAGGTACTAAATGTAATGATTCATTTTATCATATTGAGATGACTCATCTCCAAATCAGAAATAGTGAGATGCGGCAATTTTGAAAAAAAACTCTTGATCCACTTCAGTTTTTCAGACTCCTCTGTTAATGCATTCTAGAATCACTGCTTTGATCTCCTGGGGCTACCTTAACTAGAAGGTAGACATTTTAGTGATTTCTAAACTGCTGTAGACCCTTGGATGTAATAAAGATGAATCTAGCACTTTTCGTAGATTACTTGCATTCATGAGATTTGCCTTTCTAGTCAAAGAGAAAACGACATGTCTGCATGGATGTTAGAAAATTCCTTTGATTTTGAAACTTACTCCAGGCAGTTAATTTAGTGAGAAAGTTGTGATATCTGAATTGCTATGAATACAAAATGTTCATGAATTTTAGAAGGTGTTCTTGCAATTGCATCCAAGCTCCGAAGTGCAGAAATAAAACTATGAGTCAATAATTTCCAGGCAACACAGAGCAGGGATGAAAGAAAATTTTAACTGCAGTTGCCTTCCTGGGCACCACAAGGCTCAGTGTTATTAAAGCCATAGGTCTCTGGCTCTTCCTCTCTCATGGGCGCACAGTTTTCTCTGACCAAATCCGATTGTTGCTGTTGGACGTGCGGCCTGCCCGCGCCCTGCAGGCAGTGATGCGGTGCGAGGGAGCTGTATGGCCTCGTCCGAGGGGCTTTCACTCTGGTGCCTGTCGATTTCTCGGCCTCCAGATATTGAACTCTTCGTCCTTGATGATGTTTGTTCACATCTTTACAGCTTTGCAGGAGTGATTCAGTCACTGTGCTGCCATCTTGGGAGAGGGACAGGACAGCTTTCAACAGTATCCTTTCCGTAAAACCAAGGATGTCATATAACTTTAATCCCATTCCTTTCTAAATCTCATATCCAGATTTTAGTATGATCTTTTATTAGCCTTACAACAACACTGTGAGGTAGACAGTGGGACAGATATTATCCTCATTTAAGACACAGGAACCTAAACATCATTAGTAGTTACACAGCTAGAACTCACATTTATTACCCAGCCGTTTGCCCAGAGAGAAGTAATTATGGCCTAATCAGTCTCTTCTGGGGAAATAAAAAGTACCTTCATATGAAAATCTCAAGTAAAGCCTAAAAAGCCTGTAGGAAATACTGGGAGTGCAAAGTTGGCATCTAACTTCAGAATTCTCAAGGGACAGGAGCTATGTCTTCAGTTTATTTCTGTTACCATGGGGAATCCTGACGGAGCAGTGAATATGGTCCATCCTTTGTCTGGGATTGGAGGCATCTAGGAGTTTTACATTTCAGATTGGTCAGGAATATGTTACCTTCTACGGTGATGGACATTCTCTTCTTTCCTTAGCTATATAAGGGTTTCTCAGCACTCTGATACTTCCCTCTCACCCCCACCCCCCCCACACACAGGGGTATCATTGCTGCCTCAGTTACTCCTCTTTCCCCTTAAGAATGGTTTCTTTGTAAAGGACATTCTCTAAGAGGATTCACAATTGGATGGTTTGTAACAAAACTTCCCCTTTTCACTCTGCTTGGAAGATTAGCGGAAGGTATCACAGGATGGTAACATTTGATCTTGGATTTGAAGGATAAGTATAGACATTAACCAGCATATTTCTTAGTATTTTCATAAATTTTCCTTCCATCTGCCAGTCCAATGTATTTTCACGTATTGTAACTACAGGAAAAAAGTATTCTTTTTCTGTAACTTCAGAAGAAGAGCCCCAGTGCACCCACTATTCCAGAAGGAAAACCTGCATTTAATATAGAATAATCATTAAGGTAGCAATAAGAAAAGTGTTAATTTGGAATACTGCAAAAAAAAAATTCTACTCTAGCTCATATATACCTAAGTTTTTCTGGAGTTTATTGCTTCTCTTCTCACATGTTTTACTTCATTGATATATATATTATCACAAATACTTTCAGTTCTGGAACCCTCTCTTCTTTTCTGCTTTTCTTTAGGACCATTATATGGCATCTTCCAAGCTTCCTTCTTTAGAGTCCCTTTTCAATATTCAAATAACATCTGAATTTTTAAAGATACCAGACTTTATTAGTGAAGAGCGAATAGCATTCCCTTATTTTATCCTACTAATTAGCAGTTGCAATTTCGTATCTTACTTTCCAGCCTGCTCTTCAGTTAGACTTGGGGATAATAAAGTAGTTTTCTGGGGGCATCTCAAAAGTGACTTGGGACAGACACGTATGCCATTTCCACATATGCCCTACTTAACTAGGGATAAAAACTTCCCTTCAAGAGCTCCTGGCAGTACAGGGTTTAACCACCTGCTGTAAAATTGCCTGACAAACATCTTAGATTTTTACATTTTGACGTTATTTCATTAACTTAATTAAATAGACATAATTCACAAGAGTCTTTTTCCCTATCCATATTTTAAAAAATTCTAAATTTCTTGTAGTACACAGTATGCCAGACTCTCCATGCCTCTGAGACCATAGTTTATATCTTTGTATCGTTAAACTCTAACACAGTGACTGAAGAATACCAAGCACCCAATGAATATTGATTGAATGAAGGAAATAAATGCATGAGTTAATGCGTACGTGAATGAATGAATATATAAATAGAACAATCAAGTAATTCCTCTGGTGTTTTCTTCTCTAACTTTCGTATCTTCATCCTCTCTCCACTGGCTACTTCAACTCAAATCGTCCCTATGCGAAATCAGCCTGTCTCTCTGCATTAAACCACTGACTTTTGTCTCTTCTTCCAGTTACCCACAAACTTTTAAAAAGTGTAGTCTAACCTTACTGCCTCCACTAACTTACTTTGTAGTCAGCCTAAATATTACCCGCTCCACCCTACTGAAATGGCAATGCTGAGGATACTCAAAATGTCTTAATTACTAAGTTCCATGACTTCTGTTGAATCCACCTTCAAACAAAATTTGCACTTCATTTCACCTTATTGAGCACTCAGTCATTGTTAAAACTCTGCCCCGTTGACTCCTCAGACACTTTCTCCAAGTTCTTGTACATCTCAGATTTTCTGTTTGTTTTGCTCGATGGTCTTCTTTCTTTGATCCTCTTTAACACTGGTTTCTAGCCTTGAATACTCCTTCCTATTCCATGCTCTCTTCCCAGATCATCTTCTGGAGGATGACTACCTATTCTTTTAATCCTCTAGGCTTTAATTAATTATAAGAATATAATCTATCTGTTACTAATTGCCAGTACCATATTTTTCTCAAGAACAAGAAAAAACACAGATTATCAGGGCATCATTTTTTAAGAATAGAGGTTGCAAACTTAACCAACTTCTGGGAAGTGTAAGATGTTCCCTTTCTCTCCACTAACACTTTTACCAGAAAATGCTTAACTCTCGGTCCCATGTACACACACTGAATTAGGTACATACTAGGCCGCCAGAAAACTCAGTTCAGACTCAAAACACTAAGTACTAACTCAATTGGATTATTAATGCAAATGCTTAGGAGTCTCTGTTTACTGTGAGGAGGCAGTGTGTGGACCAAAATCTTGGATTTGAGGTAGATAAAATGGAAGAGATGCTTGTTTAACAATATGTCTTTCTATATGCATAGTTCTTAGTATGGGTGATGTATGTGTTTAAGGATTTGGAACAGCATTTCTGTAGATCAGCAATCAGGTGAAACTAAGAAACAGTGGCTCCCATTAGACCTGACATGTGCATTCTAATTTGCCTCGGACCCCACCACTGTCTGCTGTCCCTAATCCAGCCTGAATGTCAGTTGCTGTTTATTATCACAGACACCTTTTATTTTTTGTATTGTAGGGAGATATTTTCTTATAGCCACGTGTCTGTTAAAAAAATGTCACCGTGAAAGATAGAAAGGACTATGTATCATGAAATATTTCTTGGAAACAACTGAAAATTATTTCTTATTTAACATGCAAGCAGAATGTATCTCCATCAGGTTTATTGTTGTTGTTTATTTTACATATAGTCGGCTTCACTCAGTAGTGTTATCTCTTCTGGCGCATATTGGGTTTTGATTTGTCATCTCTTAGTGTTCTCTTCACCTCTTTATCTTCAACATCCTGAAAATGCTGCTAAATTGAATGATTTTTAGTGGTTGCCATATTAATATTTTATTTCAATGTTTAATAATGATTTTTACACTTTTAAAAATATTAACACTGAAAACAAACTGATAAAGTGAAATTATATACATGGCGATTTAGAAAGATTAACATAGAAAAATCAGTTAAAAGGACCTGAAGGGATTATCTGCTTCAGCCTGCTGCCTTCCCGCAGGTTCAGTGATGAACGGTAATAGTAGCAACAGCAGCAACATAGCAGCATCTCTGTAGGTTTTATTACAGATTACAAAATGCTTTCACATGCATTTTATGTAATTACGTAAGGTCTAAAAATGCTGATGTAGCATTTTTCCTCCATCTTAAAATATTCCAAAAAGAAGACCTAGCCGAGGGAGGACCTCCTGTGAGGCTGGACATGGTGGAAATGGGCGATCGCAGCTGGGCTGCTGATCCCACCTGTAACTGTATTTTCTGCCTGACAGAATGCGAGCATATAATTCAGTGCCTCGGAGGTCTAATATTGGGGTGGAGGGTGTGTGATGTTGTCTCATGTGGGTAGTAGCCGTATCTACTCGTTTTCAATTTTCTCAACATCAGCCCTGTGAAGTCACTGCTTCACTTAGTATTTTTATTGTGTGAATACAGGAGGGTGAGTTTTTAAACATCCTTATGTTTTATAATATCTAAATTTCCAACCTATAAAGCAACTAAAAGGTTTCCATGTCCAGAAAACAGTTTGAGTGGTTCTTCTTTTTAGGTGACACTTTCTACAAGGAACTGATATGAGAATGTATTCCTTTATCTATTTATTCTTTATAGGTTAGATAGAAGATGGATAGATTAGATAGATAGATAGATAGATAGATAGATAGATAGATAGATAGATAGGTAGATGGATAGGTAGATGGATAGGTAGATGGATAGAGACAGATAAAGATTAAGCCCTTGCTATGTGTATATCACTGTTTGGTACTATGGAGGAAAGAAAGAAATATAAGAGGAAATTTCTTGGAAAGAAGAGATCTATGCTATCTCATATTCTGTGTTCTCAAGTATCTCTATGTGTTGATATAAGTGAGAAATCGCATAGGTCAGGGTGGTCATGAAAAGGAAGAATAGAAGAGGGAGCAGTGAGAGGGAATTCCCAGAGAGGAAGACACACTGATTATGAAGATAAAATTGTTCATGGGATGTTTAATTGGAGATTCCAGTACACAAAGAGACAAGCAAAGGTGGCAGTTGGTACCTTGGTACTTCAGGAAAAAAAGGAATTTATTTGCCTATGGTGCAAAGATAGTTCTCAGTAAGTAATAGGTAATGTTATGCTTCTTATTGAAACCACGATCGCTGCTAGTAACTATGTGAATGCCAAATGTGTGTGCCTTTTCAGAAACCACAGTCATCTCTCAATGACTCTATGTCATGGTCAACTACTTCAGCCTCAGTTAGACATGGTCTGTCCAGCAGATTTAGGGATTACACTTCAGTGTGGGATTTGAATTGTAATTACTCATTGCACTGGAAAATCATTAGTTCTTGTTAATCTGTCTTCATTACCACTTTCATCATAATTCTAACTGCTCTGTTTTTACATAAGGTTGCCATTACCGCCTGGGGCTTTCTCAGGACTCTGGAAGAATCAGGAAGCATTCAACCATTTATACTTTGAAAAATTTCCTGTAAGAACTTTATTATACTTTTTTTACCATCTTAAGTACTTGTCTATAGTTCTTCCCTATTAAACTGAGCAGATTGCACCTAGAATCATAGATAACACAACAACTTTTTAGGGTTATCTGAACCAGTCTCCAGATCTCAGGAATAAGAATGCACAAACCACAATCGTGTAAGTCAGTCATTTTTATGTTTATTTTTATCAGTTTCTGGACATAGAAATTTCTCAGTTTCTCTTAGTAGATTTTCCTGGAATTTAATATTCCCTTGATGTCAGGAATTTTTTTGTTAAATTAGAACATTTTTTGTTTTTCTTTACATTATTTCCTCCATTGGATTCCTCTGCAGACTGAGAGCACCTGATCAGAATTGTACGCTGTCAAGATGACGCTTTAATCTCCTTGACTCCTGGTTATATGAGCAAAATTCATTTGGCTTTCCCAGAAGTTGTATTTTTCCATTCCCTTACTTATTTTTGACATTCTTTCCTGAATGTTCTCTGAGCTTTTTATTTTAAAATCCCATTTTAAAATACAGATACATGATAGGGCGGTGTTCTCAAAGCGCAACCTCCAGTGCCCTGGATAACAAACGTGTCTTCCTGTGTTCTGTTTTGTCATTTACCTGTTACCCTGTGCCGTGGTCATGTGTTTTGTGTTTATAACAGCACTTTACTGATGATGCATGTCAGGGTCCTACCGTCATCTTTGTGCTGTTTCACTTCTATTTCTTTCCCTGAGAGAAATACCTTGTCCTCCTTAAGCACTAAGTGAAAAAAGAATGAATGATCAGAATGTTATTTAAAAAAAAGCGAGTCTAAGTATTATCTTTATTACTTGTAGGTAAAGGACAGCTAACCTAATCAACTAGACAAATGACAAGAATTAAAATACCTTCCTTTAGAAAGAGATCTCAGAGTTAAACGACCTCAGTAGCCAAGATTAAACATGCCCCTGAGGGCCTGTGGCAGGAAGATTTGTCAGTATGGTTGACTCCAGGCAGCCTAGTCTATCTGCCTGATGGGCCACAGTTATGTCATCAGAGTACTGATATGACTAATTACAACCTGACAGTGGCAAATAATATGTGTGTGTGATTTTGACATGATCACTTGTAACATTGAAATCTTCAAAACCCCAGTTTATGGTTAATCCATATGGAATGACTCTATACTCTGCCTTGTTACCCTGACCTCCAGTTTTCTAACCTAAGGACTTAATCACGGCACTGAAGGGTTGAGTAACTTGCCCATAGCTTAGAAGTGATGGAGCTGACATTTGAACCCATATAGTCTGGATCCAGAGTCCATGCTCTTTAACTATACTCTAGGTTGTCTCTCTGATAGGAATTGCAGTAGTCATTGCAAAAAGAGCTGCCACTTATTGAGGGCTCATTATGTGCAGGGTCTGCCCTCTTCATATACACCATCTCATGGATGCTTCACAGAAGTCTTATAAGGGATAGTTCTTTATCCTATTTAACAGATGAGCATACTGAGTCTCAGAAAGAGTAAGAAACACAAATAGTGACTCACCTGGGATTTGTCCTAAAGCCTATGCTCATAAACATGGGTATCAAGATAACTCAGAAGCATTAGAGGAAGTAATATTTCTTTCTTTCTACTTCTTATTCTTCTTGATTTTTCATTCTATTGTGGCTTCTGGACCAGTGAAGATGCACTGCTACTTTGAGTTGATTAAAAATTAAATTTCATACTTAGAATTATATTTCGCTGAAGCTTGAGTACAATCCAAATCCATGTTAATAAACTAGTGCTCTATTTTGTGATTATTCATAGAGAGCTTTAAAGCTTCTAAAAATTAACATAATTAAAAAAGAAATCGATCAAAGAATGACTTTGCAATACCAAAGTATATGGGAAATATTGAGCGATTACTTCTCCATTAAAAAAAGAAATTGGGTTCATAAACTTTACAACTCTAAGTTCAAACACTTAACTTGAACATATATAAGAACACTTTAATTTATTCCTGGCTCTTAGAGGAGCAAAGAGATTCTAAGTAAGCTATTGAAACCAAAAGTAATTTAATTCCATAGTCTAGTTATGAAAAAAAGTCAAATGCATACAGGAAATCCATTGCTATCACATTTTTTATTATACCAAACTTAAAAATTATTGTATTACCTAACAATACCTGCTAATTAGACATTATTTATTCTTATTTTCAGGGATATTATGACACCATGGATGCTGGTTACATGGATGAAGAGGGCTATGTGTATGTTATGTCTCGAGTTGATGATGTGATAAATGTGGCAGGTCACAGGATTTCTGCAGGTGCCATTGAAGAGGTATTGATAAATTTTGGTCTTCTATTCCAGGTAGTAGGGACAGAGCTGAATGGAAATCAATATTGAGGTGAAGTCATTCTACCTGGAGAATTACCATACCCTTCCCCTTGCTTTGAAGGGCAGGCTAGGTTACTACAGTCTCTCTCTCACCTCACTTCTTCTCCTGTAAATCTTCATATTCTCCACATTTCCCCCATGGGCAGTAGTGAGGAATTTTAAACACATATATATATTTGTTATTATGGGAGAGCCTATATACATTTGCTTCTTGATACTTGTTACCTGATTGCCTCTAGCTTCTTGATTTTCTCCTGCTTGATAACCAGGTTTGCATATAGTCTTTAAGTAGTGTGAGATTTAAACATTTTATTCTACTCTTAAATCCTGAGGATTTTCTTTCAATGTAAGTTACACGAAGTCCCCAGAAGAGTTTTGAAACTGTTTGTAATTTTTTATGTTTACATAGAGAAAAATCCATTTTCTGTTGTACAGTACTATGAGTTTTTATACTTGTATAGATTCTTATAATCAACACCACAGATGGATACAGAAAAATATCATCACTGCCAAAGTATTCCCTCATAACATCACCTTTGTTTTCTGACCCTCCCCATCCCTCATCCCAGATAACCACTGATGTTCCTCCATTTCTATGTTTTTGCCTTCTCCAGAATGTCATATAAATGGAATAATACAGTAGGTAACCCTTTTGAGACTGTGTTATTTCATTTAGGAAGATACATTCAAGATCCATCCAAGTGTTGTGTGTATCAATAATTTGTTCTTTTATGTTGCTGTGTAGTATTCCATTGTTTGGATATACCAATCAGTTTATGTATCCATTCACTCATTAAAGGATATTTAGATTGTTTCTAGTTTGAGGCAAGTATAAATAATGCTATTATATACATTCAAGGATAGGTGTTTGTGCAAAAATTAGTTTTCATTTCTCTGGGATAGTGAAATGCACCTATAGTGCATTTGCTGAGTTATATGGTAAGTGTATGTTTAGGTTTGTAAGAAACTGTCAAACAGTTTTTCAGATTGGCTGTGCCCTTTTACATTCCCACCAGCAGTGTTTCAGGCTTCCTCTTTCTTCCCATACTCATCAGCACATGAAATTGTCATTATTCTTTATTTAAACCATTCTAATAGATGTGTAATGGTATCTCATTGTACTTTTAATTTGCTTTTTTTTGTAATGACTAATGGTGTTGGGCATCATTTCACATGCTTATTTGCCATCCATATATCTTCTTTGGTAAAATATCTGTTAAAATATTCTGCCCATTTTTTAAAAATAGGGTTGTTTTCTTATTGCTCAGTTTTGAGAATTCTTTAGATATTTTGCATACATGTCCTTTGTCTGATATGCAATTTGCAAATACTTTCTTCCAGTCTGTGGCTGATCTTTTTAATCTCTTAAAAGTGTCCTTAACAGAGCAGAAGTATTTTTCATATTGATGAAGTCTAATTCACCATTTTTTTTCTTTTACAGATCATGATTTTGATGTATCTAAGAACTCTTTCCTAACCCAAGGTCATAAATATTTTCTCCTTTGTTTTCACCTAAGGATCTTATAGTTTTATATTTTACATTTAGTTTATTGTTTTACATGTTATTTCAGTTCACATTTACATTTTGATTTTTTTTTTTTTTGGTATATGGTACAAGATGTAGGTTGAGGATTATTGTTTTTTTAACACGGATGCCAATTGTTCCAAGCATCAATTGTTACAAAGACTGCCCTTTTCCTTTGAATTGACTTTGCGCCCTTGTCAAAAATCAGCTGACAATATTTGAGTGGGTCTATTTCTAGAGTATGTCTTCTGTTTCATTGATCTATGTGTCTGTCTTTTCACCAATACTATTCTGTCTTGATACTGTAGCTTTATAGACTGTCTTAAAGCTGAGTAGTGTCCACATTTGCTATTCTTTTTCCAAATTGTTTTGGATGTTCTAGTTCTTTTACTTTTCCATATATATTTTAGAATGAACTTTTCTATAGTTACAATAAATCCTACATGGATTTTGATTGGGACTGTGTTAAATCTTTAGATGCATCTGGAAAACATTGATACCTGAACTATACTGAATCTTCCAATCCATGAATTTTGTATATCTCTTCATTTACTTAGGTCTTTTTTGATATGTTTCATTGACATTTTGCACTTTTTAGATACAGATTCTGAACAGATTTGTTAGATTTATAACTATTTAATTTTTTTAAAGCTATTGTAAATAAAATTTTTTTTTTAATTTTGGTTTTCAAATTTTTATTGCTAGTGAATAAAAATACTATTGACTTTTATAAACTGATAGTTTTTTTTTATAGATTCCTTGAGATTTCCTGCATAAACAATCATGTTGTCTGTGAATAGAGATAGTTTTATTGCTTTCTTTCCAATCTGAACATCTTTTATTTTTTTTTCTTGCTTTCTTGAACTGGCTAGAACTTCCATATGACATTGGATAAGAGTAGTGAGAGGAGACACCCTTGTCTCGTTCCTGATCTTGAAGTAAAAGCATTCAATATCTTACCGTTAAGAATGATGTTACCTGTAGGTATTTCTGTAGATGACCTTTTTCAAATGAGGGTGTTTCCTTCTGTTCCTAATTTGATGAGGTTTTTTTTTTTTTATCTTGAATGAAGGTTGAATTTCGTCAAATGCTTTTTCTGCCTCTGTTGGTACAGTTATGTGGCTTTTCTTTTTAAGGCTGCTAATATGGTGATTTTCAACTATTCAGCCTTGCATTGCTGGAATAAACTTCACTTGGTTGTAATGTATTATTGTTTTTATATATTGATTTTTAAAAATCTATGATAATTTCCCTTGTTCTGAAGTTAACTTTGTGTGGTAATCATATAGCTAATCCATCTTTTTTGAATAATGTTTGAATCATTTGTCTTTTTCCCTCCTTTCATTTTTAATCTCTCTGGATCATTATACTTCCTTTGGACTTCTTGTAGATAGCATATAGCTGAGTCTTGTTTTTTAATCCAGTCTGACAATCTCTATCTTTTAACTGGTGTTTTTAGACCATTTGCAATTAAATTAATTATTGATATATTTTTATTTTTGTCTACCAGTTTATAATTACTTTTCTTTTTGCCTTTTCTATTTTTAATTCCTCCCATATCCCCTTTTCTCCCTTCTTTTAAGTCATTTGGTTCTTTTTTTAAAGCTTGTGTTTCGTTGCTAAGAACTTCTGTGTTTCCATTCATTCTGAGAGTGCTCACCCATATTTCTTGGGCCATGGTTATTGTTGCATCTTTAATATTCACCATGTTAATTTTATCCTGAATGTGCAAATGAAGTCTTCTGGTCAAAGACAGATTTTTTTTGTGTGTGAGGAGGATCGGCCCTGAGATAACATCTGCCAATCCCCTTCTTTTTGCTGAGGAAGACTGGCCCTGGGCTAATATCCATGCCCATCTTTCTCCACTTTATATGGGATGCCGGCACAGCACCGCTTGACAAGCGGTGCATCGGTGCGTGCTCGGGATCTGAACCTTGGGCTGCTGCAGCGGAGTGTGCACACTTAACCGCTACGCCACTGGGCCGGCCCCCAAAGACAGATGTTTTTAATCATAAGTGTGTCATAGGCCTCTTACCCCATGTTGTACTTCTGGGTGACCCAATGAAAGCCCGTGGAAATCTTCCTGTGTAAGTAGCCACACACTCCATAGATGAGAGAAAAAGAAAATGATTTTTCTCTGCTTATAAGGAGGAAAGAGACAGCTATCTTCCACCCCTCCTCAGTGGGTCTCCTTGGAAACATAATGGCCTGAATCCATACTCCAACTTTTTGATGCCTAAATAAAATCTCTCCAGGAACCAGATAGCCCTGTGTGTCTCAACCCTTATAACCTCCCCAGCACCTTGCAAGTTTAACCTAGGGATCTAATCTGGGCTGTAATTGTTTGGCTCTCCCAGAGAAATTAGAAAAGTTTTATTATCCAGTCAGATCAGAACAATTAACTAGACAAATAGCTATAGATTGAATTCTCATGATATTTGAAGATTCTCAGGAGGCTAGAGCTTTTTACATGAGCAATGAGAAATCCAGGAGAGTTTTATTCCCCCAAAGTTATAATAGCTGCATTGAAATCTGTGTCTGATAATTCTAACGTTTGGATCCTCTTGGGTTTGGCATCTATTTATTGTCTTTTTTCTTAAGAGATGATTAGATTTTCCTGATTCTTTTTATGTCTAGTGATTTTTTTTTAACAACAAGGATTTACTCTACACAATTCTTACTTCATTACACCAAATAAGCACATTTAACATAGAACCATAATCACAGAATGTAGTCAGGGGCTTATGAAGTTGTACCAGTTGCGTTTTTACTTAACTCTTACACTCTTTCTTTTAAAATTATTTTTAATTTTTTTATGTCCAATAATTTTAGATTTTATCCTGGATATTTTGAATATTACATTATGAGATTCTGGATCCTGTTTAAACATCTGGATTTGTGGTCTTGTGATTATTTACTTTAGCAAGTGATCAACCAGTTAAGATCAGACCACGTGTCCTCACCCACTTTCTGTGGACTGCGATTCTAACGTCAAGTTTTCAAAGCCGTTGCAGTGCTGTTCTGGTCCATCTTACTGTGTCTCTCCCAGAGACCAATCTAAAATTCGAGTTTAGTGTTCAGAATCTTCTCTGTTCTGATTCTGGTTGGATTCATGCATACACAACTTCGGGGTAGGCACAGGACTTCATACACAGATTCAAAGTATCCCTTTCTGCAGCTCCTTCCTCTCCACAATCTGCTCTTCACTTTTTGACTCCCAAGACTCTCCCTTAGTCTTCTTCTGGGTAGGAAGTCAGGGCTTTACCCTCCCCACACTCTTACCAGGGTTCAGTCCTGCAAAGTCTACTTTCACAGTGTCCCTGGGGAGAGGAATTGACTCTTGTCTCTCTGCTAGCACTCACCTGGTACAGGGCGGGCAAGTCAAGAGGGGTCCACTCTCAGGGACTGGATGGTTGCT